AAATTTGATTTGATTTGATTTGATCATGAGCAGCTGTGGCAATAAAATGCTGTTTATACATGAAATTTGATATCAACATAATTATTCATAGTGTCAGACAGAAAACTGGAATCAGACAGGAAATGTTCAGCATGAGAACTTTTACTTCCTTAGGACTTGAGCCTTTTTACTTGTAATGAGCTTTGTTCCATGATACGAGATGCGAGACGTCTCTTCTCACAGTCCAACTTCCTGTTCTGATTGGTTTTAAGTGAACCCTGCTCTCAGCCATTAACTCTGCCTTTCTGACTGTACATGAGGCAAAGGTTTCATCCGTGCACCATGTGGGAATACTTTATAACTGATCTATTTTTGTTCCTTTATTTTCACTCAAGCTACACAGCTGCACTTATTATGTGCAATACAATACCAATCCAATAGGCCGGCTGCAGTGTGCAATTACAGCCCATAATGATTATGTAATGCTATTATTCAGCAAACATTAACCTGAAGTCGTTTTCAGGAGCAGTCTCTGTAGCAACAAAGCCAAATGCTGTTACTGTCATACATGTGGGACAGACGTTGCTACATTTCAGCCTCGGTGATTTGAATCATGGTTGATGTGTCTCAGGGGGCCGCTCTCCGACCGTTGGTGCCAGTCATCCAGCCTGCTGTGGCCCCCTCCTGGCCCCTTCACTGTAACGCCGAGGCTTTTCCCTCTGCCTGCTCTGTAATTACACCATGCTGCACAATTAATTGGCCAACGAGATTTGCACAGAACTGGAAAAAGTGCCAAACCAAATTCTTGGTGAGGCACAGGATGCAAAGACAGGTCACCTTAAAGTCATTAGGGTCATCAAAGCTCAGGCTTCTGGACTAATTGTTTCTGTGAATCAGAGGCCATGGGAAAAAATACTGTAAAAGAATTTCATTTTAACAATTCAACCCTGTAGGTGTCTGTAGGATCCTTCAGTTAACGTGAAGGCATCATAGACACCAAATGGTTTTTAAGGATAAATGTTCTGGAAAAGAAGGAGAAAAGACCAGTGTCAGAAAACAGAATGAAGGAAGGACGGCGAGACTGCTAATGACAAATGACAGATAAATGCCAAAATCACGGCCGCACATGCTGAGAGCTTAAGGTCAGTGACGTGTGTGGACATGTGGCTGCCTGCCCTGCATACATCCATGTCCCTGTTGGGCTGAAAGAAAGGGACAAAAAGACAGACAGGGAAAGGGGAAGATGAAGGGCAAAGGGACAAACTCATACAGAAAAAATTAAAGCTGCATTACTTGATTGTTTGTTGGAAACCCGGGGGCACAGCAAGCTGACAACAAACACTGCAACAAGCTCTTAAAGATAAAAGACAAAATACGTTGCCACGCAGGAGGAGACATTTCAGGCAGCCCTGGCTCTGGAACTCAAAGGCCCATTCATTTTCCCCATGGACGATGCAAAAACGCTGCAGGGGTGGAATTAACTAGCAGGACTCTGGCAAGGTCTGTACTTTGTCCTCTGATTCGTTGTGCTACATCTGAAAACAGCTGTGCAGTCAGAACTCAGTGCAACACAGCGAAAGAGCTGCAGGTTTGTCTGAACACAGTGCAACCCCGACACTTCAGCTGCCTTCATCTCTGACTCTTCCTCCTCAGTTCATCACTGACGCCATTAAACTGTGCTCAGTGGTTAAACTTAATGTTCAACTCCTGTTTTACTTCAGGTGTTTGTGCTTACTGTTACACGGACACTTCAGCTTCAGTGGTTACACTGATACGACATTTCATCTATTTTTACCACGTACACATTCAAAACCCCAGAGGTGGAAAGTAACTAAGTACATTTACTCAAGTACTGAGGTACTGTATCTGTACTTGAGTATTTTCATTTTCCTCTACTTCATACTTTGGCTTAACTACATTTTACAGGAAAGTATTACACTTTGTCCGCACTACACTTATTTGATAAATTCCTATTCATTTAATGTCAGTTTGAAAAGTAAACAAAATACAGTATAATCAGCACTTTATTGATCCCTGATGGGATCAATAACATCAGATGATCCCATCAGGGATCAATAAAGTGCTACCCAGCAGGATGTATAAGCATATAAAGGTGGTTAACATCAGCTCCTTTAGCAGCTGAAACATTAGTGTAAACTGTGCCATTCTACATAACGAGTACTTTCACCAGTCCTGTGCCATTCTACATAATGAGTACTTTCACCAGTGCTGCCTGTGTACTTTCACTTAAGTAACATTTTGAATGCAGGACCTTTACTTGTAACAAAGTATTTTTTTTACACGGAGCAGCGAGCACACACTCTACATTTTATACTAGTATTTCACTGCACTCTTGCAACTTTAGTGAACTGACTCTGATAAAACTACAGTTATTGAACTTCTTAGAAATTTTATATTTAAACTGCATTAAAAACATGATTTACTCGTTTCCCCTTAAATGAAAATCTCAGATAGTTAAAATTAAGCCAGTGACATTTAACATTACAGCTGTGAGCACATCAAGCATCAACAAATGAATGAATGACACACACAGAAAGGCACTGACCTAGTGGTGCATGAGCTAGCCATTTATTGTTACTGAGGAAGTTAACAAGGTTAACTGCATTGAAAGTCATACAATCAACCTCTGAAGCTTTGTGAGGCCCCTCCCTGTGTCACAGAAAGAAAGCTGTAGGAATATACATACAGTATATCTTACTGGCAAGTAGACAAGTACATCCGCCGCTACCTGGTACTCATGTACTATATACACATGTTAAAAATATAATTTGTTTGCATTGCGATCACCATTTTTCCTTTGTTGTTCCAGGACGTTTAGGACGAAGGAATTCACATTAAAGTGTTACAGGTTCTTGAATGGCTGTGGAAACTACAGAGCAGTTTTTAAATAGCTATCACATACACATGGGCATATGCATAGAAGGCACGTCTATGCATCTAAATTGCTTACACGATAAATGGAAGGCAGTTTTATCACTGGGGAAGAAAACAAAAACACACAAGTGTCCTGATGGCTGTTAGCAGCCGTACATACACACAACACTCCCCAAGCAAGCACTCCACTAAACATGAGACAATACACACTCATCCTTTCAACGACAAACTACGTACAGTGCACCACACCACAGGGGTCCTCATGGCTCGGCCAGTGGACGGCGTTCACCTGGGGGGGGATGCACCAAAGAACACTTGTTGGGAAGCAGCGGCCGAGCGCTAGCAGAGGCCTCCCGTGGGAGGAAGCAGCCACCCAAAACACTGATTTCATGACTTGTTTTTTTAGTGTTACAACAAGAAGCCATTCAATCTTGGACCAGTGGTTGTCGAGAAGTGTCCCTCAAAAAGGAGAGCTGCTTCTTCCTCTGTGAGTCAGCACTGTTACAGGAAGCTCAAATGCAAGACTGCAGCTTCTCAAGGCGTAGTGATAGTATGCAAATGTGCAGAAAATATCCAGGCCACATGTCTGAAATGCGTGAGTCAAGAATGATAATACAGCTACAAAACATCGTCCAGAAATACTGCGGCTGGCTGTGACAAAGTAAAGGAATAGTTTGGTATTTTTGTTAATACTTGTTTAGTTTTCTTGACTTCACTGAGAAGCTCAATACCCCTCTCATGTCAAGGTCAAAGGTCAAAGGGTTTATTTGTCATATGCACAGTTAGGAAACGCGTTTCCGTGTACAATGAAATTCTTACTTTGTCATTCAACACGGAGCCACAGAGACCGTTAGCCTAGCTTAGCATAATGACTGGAAGCAAAGGGAAACAGCTAGCATGGCCCTTTCCGAGAGTGACAGGTCATTAAAGTTGGCCTGTAACCGACTACCCACAAAACCACGGCTGGCTCAAAGATTTCTATTTGTGTATGGACTGACGTTACAATCATTACGATTTGTATGAAATAAAACAGTTTGGTACTGTTTATGGTGGCGTTTAGCACGTTTATGTTTAATGATTACTTTAGTAATGTTTTTCTTTGTTGCGGTTCCTGCCCTGGATTTAAATGACCTTCACAGGAAACGTAACATTTAATTAAGACATACTGTTTTTAATGCTCTTACTACTAATGCTAACCCAATACTCCCTGCTTCCTCAGATAAACAAAACAAAAAAAAATACTTTGCTGTTGTATTAAAACTATAACTTAAAACAAACCAGATATAACAAAGTGTTAATTAGCCAGAGGTGGTGTTAGAGGCATCCCCTTGCTGCTAGTCTTTATTTTTAGCTAAGCTAACCAGCTATAATAGAAATGAGTGAGATCAAGCTTCTTATATAACTCAACAAAAACAAAAACAGGCCAAATTACCCCTGTATATGGTTTACTCTGGTTAAAACACTATCCTTCATACGTGTGTGTGTGTATTGACTAGTAAATCCAGCTGACAATCTACAACAGCGGTTACACAATCTGACCTGCCAAAGATGAGAGATGTGCAACTGCTTCTTAAAACTGTGACTTGCAAAATTAAGTAGATGTGGTGCTCAGAATAGGCAATGGTACACAAAAGGCAGAATGAAAAAAGTAATATGCACTTTAAAAACAACTTTTTGGCAGCTGTGTCTGTGGCGAGGCCTGCGACTATGATACACAGACGCCCCTAAAACCCTAGGGCGTTCTGTTTTTAATGACTTACTACTAATGCCAACCCAACACTCACCACAGTGACAAAGAAGTGCAGGTGTGAATGGGGCAACAACCAGTTGGCAGAAACTCCCCTCCAAATGTCACACTGGATCATTTACAGATCCAGCAGGTGAATCAAGGCTTGACTGTAACTGTTCTGCTGCCAAGTAAAAGTGCAGCATAAAAGACATTCAGCTTGAGCTCAGGAATGGTTCATCAACAGACACCGTGTATCCGACAAAAACACGTTCAACTCATGTGAACTAGCAAACGAAACAGTTGATTCACACTCTGAACAGCCTGAATGTAAGTTTGTCTTTGAGGCGGTTCTGGTGCAAAAAGGAATTCATGTTTAGAAGTCAGTAAATGTGGTACTACACTACAATGCCAGTACTACTTCATTCAGAAACATGTGTCTACTGAACACAGTGAAGATGGACAATCACTAGAAACTCTGCCTCACTCTAGTCCACGAATAAGGTCTCGTCTCTGACTGCTTCAAGGCTTAACAGGCCAAATACTGTAGAGACTTAACTGGATGAGAAAGGTGGATTTGGCACAGGCCTTTTACAGGAAACTCCTCACTTCTGTCTACGACACATTCTGCACAACATTCCTTTGGTTAATAAAAAGAAGAAGAGAGAAAACAGAAAAGTGAGAGCTGAGCAAAGGTTAGCTAGGTTTTCCCCTGTGAGGCGAGTGCTCACTGTGTGCAGCCCTTGTTGGGGTGAGACACAAAGGCTAAACTCAAACTGTGGTTTAGTAGATTTAACATGTTAGGCTTCTCAAAGGCTCTTCTGATGATCACAGTGGTTTAGGATTCAACTTGAGGGCAAGTGTTGACGTTTAATGAGCGAGAACAGGAGGACCCTGATGTCTGGTCTCCCTCATGAGTTTGCTTTTTCCATCGTTCCATGTTATTATAGTCAAGTCTCAGGCGTCAAGGTGTGGCAGGCAAAAAACTGTCAGGTATCAAGATCCTGAAGGAGACACAAAGGACAAACATTAAAAGGCCAGTTCTCAATTTACTACACTTTAAGAGAGACAGACCCCAACATCGAAAACGATGCTGAGACAACTGCAGCGCTGCTGAGTCAGGTGACAATCATCTGGGGTTTCAGCGCACAAACAGCAGCTTTCACATTCTGACCCATTAAAGCAGCTTAAAAAGTGCCACTGTGCAGCAGAGTGGTGACTATGACATGACTGTTGTTCATTAAAGGGTGAAAATACACATTACGCTGAATTTATCTTGCAATCCTTTAGTAAAGAAGCAACTCGGGCCCCTCAAGGTATTTTTCCTCGGCCCTTATTTGTGTTTGGCATTGTTTGAATAGAGCAGACCAACCTACAAAACGTCCACAGTGCCATGGGTCCAGGAAATGTGGCTTAAGCACAAGATTTGAAGAAAAAGCTCCATAACAGTGTACACAAACCATTCCTGTATTAGAGGGATGAGTGATGCCTTCAGTGTGTACGTACGTCCTAATGTTCAGGCACAAATGTGCTGATATCAGTGTTCATTAGTGAGCTGTGCCATTACATTTTCACTGTAGTCGATATCAGTGTTCATTAGTGAGCTGTGCTGTGCCATTACATTTTCACTGTAGTTGTGGTTACATTGCAAATTACACATACTGGTGCTGCGCTGGTCTGACAGAATGAACAGTATTTATCAAGCTAACCCCTCTGGAGTCCATGTATCTTTCATCGCGAGTCCTCCCTCTGACAACAAGCTGGTTAAATGTGGCTGTTACTGCCTGAAAGCTGACGGGTGAAGTGACATTATACTGTATTAACCTGAAGTGGTCCATACCTACCAGGTACCTGAGGAATATATAGTTTCCAGTATAATGCTGTTTTCTGTGAAGCGCAGCGAACCACTGCATTTACCTGGAGCTAACAGAGCACTGGAATCAAAGATGAATCTCATCTGAAGCTCTTCTGCTGCTGCATCAGGCCCACGTTCTCATATACTCTGGAGCTGTCCTCTCTCATCCTGGCAACACATGCACACAGGCTTTTTCCTTCGCAAGGACTCAAAAGTGACTGAAATGCAAGTAAAACAGCTTGTTATAGTAGCTGTTCACTAACTGCTTTACTCACTCTGTGCAGGTGGGGGTAGGGATAGGAGTGCATGGAGGCAGAGGGCTCTGCTCTCCTCCAGTCAGGTCAGACAAAGAGTACTTAATGTTTGTGTACTCGCGCCCTTTAATCTTACTTTTCTGCAGAGGAGAAAGCAGAGAAAGGTCAGAGACGGCAGCAGAAAGGAGCAAAAATGAAGAAGTGAGGGGTTGTTGGCTGCACACCTGCTCCTCCTCTATGCGTCTCTGCAGCGTTTCTATGTAGTGCTGTACAGCCATGTAGATGAACCTGTACTGCGCCTCAGTCTGCACCATCCCAGAACGCTGAGATCGAACCATCTGGATGGTCTTTGGCACGTCGATGTCACAGTCCACGCCTGCAGCATGAAAACAACAGCCGACAGTGACGCCCCGTGGGCACTGGTAACACTGTGAGAGCCCATGTACTATGTACTACAGCTGTGATCTTTTCATTCAGCTTTATTGAGGTAAATACTGTATGTGAATGCTATCAAAGAGCACCGGGGTCCCATTTACATCTCAAACCAGGGAGGTGTTCTGAGAAGCTTCTGAGCCAGGTAATGAAAAGTGTGAATTCACTGTATAGTAAGCACTCTGGAAGTCTCCTCCACACGGTGCGCCCCCGAGTGATTTCAGCACAGGCTGACACCAAAGGTGTACAGAGCTCCCTGATCAGTGCCGCTGCTCCGTGACCTGTCTGGGCCAATGAGCAGCGAGAGCCTGAGAAGTCCATCAAATCATCTGTGTGTTTGTGTTAGTTTAAAGAGAAGTGTAACAGCAGCTCAGCAGTTACTGCTGAGGTGCACAGGTCTGGTGCCCACTACACCAGACTAAAGCCTTGAAAACCAAAACAGACTGCAATGAGACTATTTATGGACTCACCAACGAAGATGCAGATACACTCGGCCACTTTCTCAGGTTGTCAGCTCTGCTGTAAATTGTTTTTTTGACATTTTCAGAACCGCAAACTAAATTGTGTTTCTGACTAATGTCATAGTTAATCACCGTTTGAGGCATTTCTAATTTATCATCCCATTTACATACACCAGGGGCCAAAACATTAGAACCCCCTCAGAACATAACACAGCTCAGTACAACACCACCACTAGTCACGACCGCAGTGCGATATAGATTTTAATTAACTCCTCTACAGCGCTGCATTAGACTCTACATCTAATACAGTGCAAAACCCATCTGGATTGTACAGGACACAAGACGTTTGCAGTGACAGGTGTGTGCGCAGACTCACCTTTCTCTCGGATCACATCTATCAGGATGTCGATCACTATAAACGTTCCCGTCCGCCCGATCCCTGCACTGTATAGCACAAGACAACGTCTCTGGTTCAGCACGTCTCCTCTGTTGCCACAAAGTACACGGATCATTTACTGAAGCGTTTTCACTGTTTGACTTGTGTGTACCTGCAGTGTACCGCGATTGGCCCAGCGTCCAGTATGTTCTCCTGCTTCAGGTTGACCTCCTCTAAGAAGTCCAGGACGCCGCCTGGGTCAGTGGGGACTCCATGGTCCGGCCAGGTCCTGAAGTGGTACTGCCAAACTGTGCGTTCTGTGTTTCCCTAAACACACACACACACACACAGGAGACTTTCAACATACAGTGTAAAAACACTTAGCAAGTACCATCTGTACAGATGTCAATATAAATAACAACATAATTGAAAGAAATATATGTTCTATGTTTCTTAAGCCAATTGTTGAAAAGGAAATTATAGAGATAGTGAACAAATGTGGTAATAAATCATCTAGTGATAGTGATGGTATCACTATGACAACTGTTAAATGGGTAATTGAGGGGATATGCAAACCATTAACCCATATTTTTAACATGTCGTTTCGACTTGGGCAGTTCCCCAATAATATGAAAAT